CGGTTTCAATTCATCACTTTTACTAGCGCTTTCACTGCTTGCTTATAGATGTAAGAAGATGTGGTATGAGTGCCAATGAGACAACTCTCCGTCCAAGTCAAAATTTATAAAAGTAAACAATTATAGGTCACAGTACGGTCTTTAACACGAAGCTTTGGCTCACACCGAACAGTAAGCTATAAAGGGCCCCAAAAAATTGCTAGTGTAAAACCATTCAAACGGGAAAACCAACGGTCTAATCTATATAAAAAACTAGAAACGAGAAACACTTATGAACCACATCAACAAACGACAACTCCTGAACATCAGATTTCTGACTTAGGACAGGTGCAAACAAATGCAGCGGGTTTAAACGTGTATATATATATATATATATATATATATATATAATATATATATATAAGTCTAGAGATTTGCACAACGATACTAATATAAGATGGTATTATACGAAGATGTTGTTAATAAATCGTGTTGACAAATATTTCGGCTTAACAAATAGCCTTCTTCGGTGTCAATTATTTTAACAATACTGATAATATGTATAAAAATAGCTCAATAATACAGGTAAGTTTTGGTCTATTGATATAATCCAAAATCCTGAACATCATAATATATAACAAAACTCAATACTCAAATATACGTGACTGTGTATATTTACAACCCAAAATGAGTGGAAAATAAAACTTAGTTTTTTTTATTGATGCCGTTTGGATGATGTACATTTAGTTCCTTTATCCAAAAGCTTTCCCGAACCTGTCGCTGGGCATCACTCCAGTGAATATTCTGTTCAATCACTAGGATCTTCATGCGGTTAAAGTCATCAAGTGTGTGACCAGACTGTCTGAAATGCTGAGAAACTGGGAGAAGTGGCTTCTTAGAGATATCACTCCTATGGCCATTGAGGCGTTTGTGGAAAGGCTGCTTTGACTCACCAACACATTGGAGGCCACAAACCGAACATTCTAGAATGTAAATAACATTCATACTTTTGCAGTTAACATTGCAAAATATCTTATAGTTATTTTCGGTTGCCTTACTGTGAAAAGTTGATGAGTGATGCATCTGTAGGCAGCATTTGCAGCGTTTTTCATCACATGAACGACATTCTCCAGAAGTACTTCTATTATCAGACACTTCAGCCCGCACCAGCAGGTTACGCAGACTATTGGGTTGCCTAAAAGCTATCATGGGAGGCTCGGGAAAAATCTTGGATAGTTTGAAATTCTTTTCAACTGTTTTCCAATGCTCACGAATGACACCGAAGCTGTTTTTGAGAGATGGGTGGTAAGTAAGAACACATGGAGTCCTTTTATTTTTCTTTTTATATTTGTATTCTAACAGTTTACTCCTTGGAATAGTTTCCGCTTTCTGAAAGCCTTTTTGGATAGTTTTGTGTTTGTAGCCCCTTCTCTTCAAGCGGGTTTCGAGTTGACGTAGTTGTTTTTTAGTTGTTTCTGAGTTGGAACATATTCGCTTGACTCTGAGTGCCTGACTGTACGGGATGCTCTTAGTACAATGAGCAGGATGGCAACTTTTAGGGGACAGATATTGGTGAGTGTCAGTAGGCTTAGAATATAGATTAGTGGATATGATGCCATCTGTGAGCGAGCTTGAGGTATCGAGGAAGGTGATTTTGGATTTAGATTTCTCATGAGTAAATTTGATACTTGGATGTATGTTGTTGGCATGAGTGATGAATGTATCTAAATCCTCGTCACTTTTATTCCATTTCATATCCACATCATCTATAAATCTAAACCAGGAAAGCGGTTTTTCGATGGAAGATTCAAGGAGTTGTTTTTCTAATTTGCCCATAAATATGTTGGCATATGATGGAGCCATTTTGGTGCCCATAGCAGTTCCATTAACTTGAAACTAAATTGTCGGAAGACCTTGACAATTTTGCCAGAAGTCTACGCATTAAGGAATATTTCGCGTCGAAGGAGAACAACAACAGATGCTCGGATAGCGACTCAGAAATTTCAGAAGACGAAAACAACTACAAATTTATAAAAAAGAGTACTTGGATCCCTAAACCGAGCAAAAATGCCACCTTGGAATCATTTATTGACAATTTTAAGTCGGACATTATTAGAAATACTAGCAATAACAATAAACCTTTTGACAATCTTACTAATGAAGAACGAACTGCACTGAAAAACTTACGATCTAACGACAATATCGTCATTAAACCTGCAGACAAAGGCAGTGCAGTGGTTGTCATGGATAAATCTGCCTATATTCAAGAGGCTGAACGACAACTTGGCGATGCAAGGTTCTACCAAAAACTAGACTCTGATCCTACAACATCTTTTAGCAGAGAAATAACTGATAGTTTGGTAGAAATGCACAACGATGGTTTCATCGATGAAAAGACTCTAGAATATTTGAAAACAAGAAAATCCAAAACCGGGCAGATTTTATCTTTTACCTAAAATTCATAAGGCCAATAACCCAGGAAGACCTATAGTTTCAGCGAACGGTCATCCGACGGAAAAAATATCGGAATTCGTTGACCTCCATCTTCGTCAACATGTTGAGGACTTACCATCTCACATCAAAGATACTACCGATTATCTTAGAAAATTGCAGGCCTTAAATCCACTCCCCTCCGACACGACACTTGTCTCTATGGACGTCACCTCCCTCTACACGAATATTCCACATGCAGATGGCATTGATGCATGTGAAGAAGTTTGGAATTCCGACCAGTGAAATATCCACCTACTGAATGCCTGGTCAAAATGCTCACGCTGGTACTCAAAAACAACAACTTCACTTTTGATGGAGACCATTATCTGCAAGTTAATGGAACTGCTATGGGCACCAAAATGGCTCCATCATATGCCAACATATTTATGGGCAAATTAGAAAAACAACTCCTTGAATCTTCCATCGAAAAACCGCTTTCCTGGTTTAGATTTATAGATGATGTGGATATGAAATGGAATAAAAGTGACGAGGATTTAGATACATTCATCACTCATGCCAACAACATACATCCAAGTATCAAATTTACTCATGAGAAATCTAAATCCAAAATCACCTTCCTCGATACCTCAAGCTCGCTCACAGATGGCAGCATATCCACTGATCTATATTCTAAGCCTACTGACACTCACCAATATCTGTCCCCTAAAAGTTGCCATCCTGCTCATTGTACTAAGAGCATCCCGTACAGTCAGACACTCAGAGTCAAGCGAATATGTTCCAACTCAGAAACAACTAAAAAACAACTACGTCAACTCGAAACCCGCTTGCAGAGAAGGGGCTACAAACACAAAACTATCCAAAAAGGCTTTCAGAAAGCGGAAACTATTCCAAGGAGTAAACTGTTAGAATACAAATATAAAAAGAAAAATAAAAGGACTCCATGTGTTCTTACTTACCACCCATCTCTCAAAAACAGCTTCGGTGTCATTCGTGAGCATTGGAAAATAGTTGAAAAGAATTCCAAACTATCCAAGATTTTTCCCGAGCCTCCCATGATAGCTTTTAGGCAACCCAATAGTCTGCGTAACCTGCTGGTGCGGGCTGAAGTGTCTGATAATAGAAGTACTTCTGGAGAATGTCGTTCGTGTGATGAAAAACGCTGCAAATGCTGCCTACAGATGCATCACTCATCAACTTTTCACAGTAAGGCAACCGAAAATAACTATAAGATATTTTGCAATGTTAACTGCAAAAGTATGAATGTTATTTACATTCTAGAATGTTCGGTTTGTGGCCTCCAATGTGTTGGTGAGTCAAAGCAGCCTTTCCACAAACGCCTCAATGGCCATAGGAGTGATATCTCAAAGAAGCCACTTCTCCCAGTTTCTCAGCATTTCAGACAGTCTGGTCACACACTTGATGACTTTAACCGCATGAAGATCCTAGTGATTGAACAGAACATTCACTGGAGTGATGCCCAGCGACAGGTTCGGGAAAGCTTTTGGATAAAGGAACTAAATGTACATCATCCAAACGGCATCAATATTAAATACTAAGTTTTATTTTCCACTCATTTTGGGTTGTAAATATACACAGTCACGTATATTTGAGTATTGAGTTTTGTTTAATATTATGATGTTCAGGATTTTGGATTAAATCAATAGACCAAAACTTACCTGTATTATTGAGCTATTTTTATACATATTATCAGTATTGTAAAAAAAATTGACACCGAAGAAGGCTGTTTGTTAACCCGAAATATTTGTCAACACGATTTATTAACAACATCTTCGTATAATACCATCTTATATTAGTATCGTTGTGCAAATCTCTAGACTTATATAATGTTTTTCCTTATCTGCACAGTATCGTCTATTCTAGACGATCCGGTACATAGTAAATTTGCTGGTTGGTCCTTTTTATAGACTTCTATATATATATATATATATATATATATATACACAACTCGTCTAAACATCAGACCAACAATGTTAGATCTGTAAATTTGCTCTTGCTAATTTTTTGTTCTTCCCTCACCGGGATTTGAACTCATTCTACTTAGATATCGTGACACCAAATTGCCTGCACTGTAACCGACGCGCTAGACCACACGACCACCTAGGCGTCAATAATAAAGCTTTCGCTGGCAGGATGTTACCTTTCTTCGTCAGTTTTGATCTAGCGTCGCTATACAGTATATAAGGCATGAAAATGGAATTGTTACAGATCAGCTGAAATATCTATTGTAAAGGATCCTACAAATTAATGCAAGATACAGTCACAGGAATAATTATATTTATAAGTACGTCCGAACCAGTGACACTTAAACAAATTCTTCAATCAAAGTCAACTATAAACAAATATTTAGCTAACTTGTCAATGATAAAAAAACAAGAAACGCTTATATATACATATGTTTATATATTATATATACATGCCTACACTCAATTTGGTTTTTTGATTGGCATCAGGGTAACACCAATATTTTAAAAGTCTCTATGTATCAATGATAGTAAACAATATCTTTAGTGTAAAATGTATTTAACATAACTTTTATTTTATTTCAGGCATTTGTACAGAAATCAAATAACTACAATACAGCAAGGAGTATTTCAAGACCTACCAGCTCTATACGAACTGTATGTGTACATTGTTACAATAGTTTTTCAAGAAGCAAATGATAACAAAATTTATGGTTAATCTGTGGCAGAGTATTTTTTACTATTATCAGTGATTACGATATTTTAAAGTTCTGCCGTTGACCATTGGTGACAAAGATTGATTTATTTACACTTGTCAATTCCAGCCGTAGAATTGTCTGTTAACTATGTTAGTTCTTGGTATTTTTTTATCATATTTAATGCTGATATGTACATATGTTGGAAAAATTATAATGATTAAGTACATTTTTAGAAAACAATCTGTCAATGTCACTTGGTTGAAAAACTACTGTTGCCTATACGGAAAGATTTTAATCGACCTGCGTCTAAATCCCTATATGATATTTATCAAAATTTTATGAATCGACATCTATCTATGGTGATAAAAAAAATTGTTCAATGTAAAAGAGAGGCAAAGGGTACCAACGGGACATTCAAACTCCTAAGTCGAAAATAAATTGACAACGCCATGGTTAATAAAGAAGAAGACAAACAGACAAATACAGTTCACAAAACATAACATAAAAAACCAAAGACTTAGCAACATGAACCCCATCAAAACTGGGGGTAGTATCAGGTGTTTCGGAAGGTTAAACATATCCTGTTAATTATAATAAAAATTATCATTGTTTTTTTTCAGGTATTTATACAGCAATCAAATAACTACAATACAGCAAGGATCATTTCAAGACCTACCAGCACTAGGCCGCCTGTATGTATACATAGTTACAATATTTTCTCTAATTCTTTGACAATTTATACCTTTCAGCACTCATTGTATAACAAAAATTAATCAACTTGTGGTTGCCGATGATCTCAGAAGATGATTAGATGAGTTTAAGGTTCATAACCTTAATCAGCTAACTGAATGAATCAAAATATGCTAACAGGTGTTAATGAAATTGAAAATTTTGTGAAATGTGGAAGGCACTTGAAGAGGATTTTCGTTTAACAAAAAATTAAAATTTTATGTTTTAATCATTAGAGAAACAGATTCTTACATAGTTACTCGTGGATTATCGAATTTATCCAATCTCGATAGTTAAATTATCAATTTTAATGTCCTCGCCGAAGCTCGGACTTTAAAATGGATAATTTAACTATCTCGATTGGATAAATCCGATAATCAACTGGTATCAATGTAAGAATCTATATTTATCAAAAAGCAATTGAGGAAAAAATGTAAATTAATTTTCTGTCGTCGAATAGTGTGACCATTTGTGAACCTGTTCGGTTTGAATTGACTGGATTTACTAATAATCTTTTTTTTAAATGATAACTCTACGAAACGATTTGATAGTTGCAAATTTTTAAGTCGTCGCATTTCAAATGATTAATGAGTTCTGCAAATTTACATCGATTAACCAAATGGTTACACTGCAGATTTCATAATGGTAACAGACATATATTAACAGAACGTATAAACTTTAAATATATTACTATAAAAAAGTGCGATAGAGATAACATGTTCTTTTTGTTTTCTAAAAATAAGAGATATGTTTTTTTTTTTTTTTCAAATGTTTTTCAAAAAGGGAATAATTTACTGAAATGGATTAGCCAACATGAACATTGGAAAAGAACACTAATTATTGAGACAAATATAGTTCCTTGGTGTTTTTGTTTAGATAATATCAGCAATTAACTAAACTCATATAAGAAAGAAGACTTCCATTCTACACCTTTAAATAAAAACTATTAACCGCAGTTTTTAACTACCAGTATGTAATAAATAACAGTTGCCACTATATATAATGTTGCAATCATAATGTAGCATTGTCCGATAAAAAATTGTTGGCAAGATTTTCTATTTTGTAAAAGATTAACATAATTTTGTAAATAAATGTCATTACAACACTGAAATGTTTAATGACAACATTTCGTTTACTTTGAAAATATTTATTAAATGTTCCATGACGCCTTTAACTGATAAATTGGCAAACATAAATGTGTGCATGTAGGAGAAATATTTTAGTATGTCATCTCTTGGTTGATGTACATATTCGTTTTCTGAGCAATAAAAGTTCGAAACTTGGTAGAGAACTGTTTAAACCTCAGTTATTATGTTGTGTTTGAATACTTATCACGGCACATAAATGTATCTTTAACAAGATGACTTGGTCATTTTCAAGATAAAACACAAATGTGTCTTCTTATCTCAAGAATGAAAGAGTACATGTATATCGTCTTAGGTTGTATTAGATTTCGGAAATTGAGTAGCGTTGTGCATATACATAGTTCTTGTTCGTTTGAACATGACCAAAAATTACGTATATGAAGTAGTGATATTCTAATTTCTGTAATTGCGTTCCAATGTGTCTGAATCAAAGTGAACATTTTTTTTTCGAAAAGGCTCCCTTTATCTCATTTCATTGTGTTTTTTAGAATTAAAAACAATATGCTAAAGACATATACGATTTAAAGCGTTAGGCATTTAGTTTATTGTGAAATATAAAAATATTCTATTAACATACAGTGTAATTATTAGCTGGTTTTTATTGTGGAAAATATAGAAAGGAATTTTGTATAAATGGTACGTTGTAAGAATTTATAATAACTAAATTATTGTGACAAGATAAGTATGATGACCTGTTTACAGATACTAATAATTAATGCATATGTATTGACCATTAATGAACTGCTTATGTTGTTTGTGTTGCTCAAACTTTAGTTTTCTGTATGATATTTTTTTTCAGAGCATTGCACCAAAATCGATTAACAACAATACAGCAAGGAACATTTCAAGACCTACCATCGCTTAACCTTCTGTATGTATATATTGTTATAGCTTTTAACCAGACGCAAATGAAAACAAGATTTAAATGTCAATCAGTTGCAGAATATGTTTACTGTAATCAATAATTACGACTTTCTGGAGTTACGTCGTCAAATAGTTTAACCATTGGTGACCCTGTTCGTTTGACAGAGTTTAATAATAATTTTATTGAAAACAATTATTATAAAGAAAAGACCCATAATCGCGAAGGTAATCATCATCGCCCTTTGTACAATCAAAGCTTTCGGCAAATTGACGACCCATGTGTATACACTGCAGATTTTATTATGATAACAAACATGTGTTAAAAATACAAAAACATTTTAAGGATGTTTCTAGAATATATTGTGAAAAATATAAGTGTGTTTGGCAACAGGTAAAATCAATCCAGTAAAATACGATACATTTGACTTATTTCAATATCTACTAAAAAAGGCGGTAGATACAAATCCATTTGCACTCCACTATGTTTTAATAAGTGGACGAGTGTTTTTTTTTACATTTAAATCGAATTTTTTTTAAAATCTGCTGTACAGTCAACATCTGTTTTCAGATGATAACAAAATTAACCGATCAACATTAAACAAGTTGCAAGCGTTTATTCAATTGCATTAGAAAGATAATAAGTAATATAATTATATATAAAGAATAATAATTTTATTGAAAACAATTATTATAAGAAATAAGTTTCAGATCAAATGATAAAAAATAATTTCAATTTTAATTATGAATCAATATGAAACAACACTGATAACTCTATTTTCAATACTATACAATAATATACAATGCTCTTCACTTCAATAGTTGTACTAGTCTTTCCAGTTTCACTATCAGTCACAGAATCGTTAGGTTCTCTTTCTGATTTTACCGATTCAGCATCTGTGATTTCATCCGTATCAATCTCAATTTCACTGTTCTCCTCTGAGACCCTTTGAACACTTTTTCCAAATTTTCCTCGGTTTTAAGATTTGGGAAAAGTTCCTTGGGCAAAGAAGATGAAGATAACCAACCTATCTTTGGTCAGAACCAAGCAGAGTATGATAAGGCGATTGATCAATTACTCTGTGATATGATCTATTTTTCTGAAATTGCACGAAGCGCAAACGTTCAGACCACTGTTGTGTATCATTTTCATTCATCCATGCTATGAAGGACGCCTCCGGGTGCGGGAGTTTCTCGCTGCATTGAAGACCAATTGGTGGCCTTCGGCTGTTGTCTGCTCTTTGGTCGGGTTGTTGTATCTTTGACACATTACCCATTTCCATTCTCAATTTTATGAGCATTTCTTTAATGTCTGCATTTGCTCTTTCTACAGACCCTTGACGTTGGGGATGTCTTGGTCGCCCATGAACTATTACTAATTCTAACCATAACGATTTCAGTTCAGTGATTATATGTGCAGTGAACTCCGTCCCATTATCGCTTTTGAGGATATGGGGTGCACCAAAGAGAAGAAAAATGTCAAGTAATTCATAAGCAACTTCAGTAGCTCTCTTAGATTTCAGATCTCTAAGCACGCTAAATTTGGTAAGATGATCTTGATAGTGCATTATCCATTTAAATTCATGGTCGGAGACAGGATGATGGTCTACAAGGTAAACCTGACCTCTACAATTGAAGTCAGCAGAATTAATAGGTTTAATAACAAGTTGTCAGTACGTTTTCGTTTCAAGATACATTGTTCACAGTTGGTTGTAAATACATGAAATATGCGTATTGCTTCCCGGCTAATGTTAGCAAAATTTTTTTTTGAGTTCTTTGTTAGTTTTATGGAGACATCCATGACCAACCCCAACGTGTGCTGTTTTTATAATATCATACATATCCTCAATGGATAAGTAGTAAAAAATGGTGTCATCTGAAAGTAAGAATTAAACCATTTTGAGTATGGCACAAATCTAAACTGGTATTTTGTTATAAAGATAATTATGTTAATAGCCCTAACAGCGATATGCTTGTTCAAATATTATAAATATAAGAAAATCTGTGAAATAGTTAAGCTCATATGGTCGTCTGTTTTGTTACCTAAAGTTCTTTAAATAATACTTGTACACCCTTATTTACTGTGATCATATAGAGTTACGATTTTAGGTTGATGTGCCATCTTCCGTATGCAATTATGCATAGTATGATCAATTTGATACATCGTCACGAACGTGCACGAAATATTTGCCACTGGACGTTAAGCAACCAACAATCAATCAATCAATCAAAATTCGAGGATTTGGGATAGATTTTTGTTTACATTCGATTTCAGACTCTCTTCTATATTTGTCATATGAAACAAAACAATGATGAGCTTTTCAATATCTGCAACTTCAATAACATCATATATCTCTAGCAAATGTCTGTCTTGGTCACTTTTCTTCAATGCCTCTTTTGCATTTTTTACTTTAGAAATTAACTCATTCAATTTGACTCTAGTAAAAAGATGGTTGTGCTTACATGTGTTATTCTCAGCAAATTGATGAACTTCTTGATAGAATTTATCCTGTTGATCAACAATACTAGCCATTTTTTTTAACACCTTAACTTTTACTTTTGTTAATGACCATGTGAAAGACCAGTGAACAGGAGTTCAATTTATAACCTCAAGGCAATATAAATGAATCAGTATGACTTTCAAAATAGCATTGAAAAGTTTTTATAGTGGGTATCAACACTTTTTTATCACAATATCTATATAATAAATTATTCTACGAGTTATAACTGAAATTAAGCCTTAGTATGTACATATTGTAATTTGTACAGTCACTTTTTGTACAAATTATAATTTGTACAAAGTCAAAATACAAATTATAATTTGTACAAAGTCAAAATACAAATTATAATTTGTACAAAGTCAAAATACAAATTATAATTTGTACAATTTTTTTGTACAAATTATAATTTGTACAAAATGATAACTTGTACACAACATATATATATAGATCCATTTTGTTACATCAGGTGGTCCGTTTATTTGGCAATCGCCAATGGCAGTCAGCAGTGTTTAAGAACATCCGTTGTTCGACCTGCTAGTCAAATGCGTTTTGTTAAAATATACTTTTTCACGTTTTTTGGTTTTTTGGAAAATGTTGTTTGTGTTGTATTTAGACCCCTCTACCAAGAAATTTGTTTTGCATGCACACGTATAAAAATTGCTGTTTTATCCAACGCAATCATAGGTTTGAATATTGTTTTCAATTTAGACTTGTGTATAAATACATGTATATAATAAGTACGTCTGAACCAGTGCCAACTCTACGACAGATTTATCCATCGGATCACCAGTGATGGTGATACAAGGCTGAAAACACATTCTGTATATATAATTCGTCTCAATAACAGCCCAACAATGCTAGATCTGTATTCCGCAAATTTTAGTTCTTCCCTGGCCGGGATTCGAACTCATGCTACTGAGATATCGTGGTACCAAATCGCCTTGCACTATGCCCGGTGCGCTAAACCACTCAACCACCTAGGCTCGACAAAAATCAAGCTTTCGATGGCCGGGTGTTACCTTTCCTCGTCAGTTTTTATCTAGCATCGTAACACAGTACATGATATAAAAGGCATGGAGATGGAATATTACAGGTCAGTTGAATTATCTATTGTAGAGGATCTTACAAAAAAATGTAAGATGCAGTCACAGAAATAATTATATTACAAGTATGTTTGAACTAGTGACAACTCTACAACAGTTTTTATCCATCGGATCACCAGCAGTGATGGTGATAGAAGGCTGAAAATACATTCTGTATATATAATTCGTCTAAACAACAGCCCACTAATGTTAGATCTGTAAATTTGCGGAAGCAAATTTTTTGTTCTTCCCAGGCCGGGATTCGATACTACTGAGATATCGTGGCACCAAATCGCCTCGTCAGGTTTTATCTGTTTATCTTCATTCCATCTCCATGCCTTTTATTTCATGTACTGTTTTACGACGCTAGATAAGAACTGACGAGGAAAGGTTACACCCGGCCTCCGAAAGCTTTATAATTATAGGGCCTAGGTGGTCGATTGGTCTAGTGCGTCGGGCATAGTGCAAGGCGATTTGGTGCCACGATATCTCAATAGCTAGAGTTGGAATCCAAGCAAGGGAAGATAAAAAAATTTGCTTTCGCAAATTTACAGATCAAACATTGTTGGGCTGTTGTTTAGACGAATTATATATATATAATTTTTGCACCTTTTGTTTGCGGTATACCATCTATTCCGCGTTTATTGTTTTCTGTTTGGTATTAGATTAATAATTTTTAAAGATCCATTTTGTTACATCTTGTGATCCGTTTATTTTGGCAATCGCCAATGGCAGTCAGCAGGGTTTAAGAACATCAGTTGTTCGACCTGTTAGTCAAATGCGTTTTGTTAAAATATACTTTTTCACTTTTTTGGTCTTTTGGAAAATGTTGTTTGTGCTGTATTTAGACCCCTCTACCAAGAAATTTGTTTTGCATGCACACGTATAAAAATTGCGGTTTTTATCCAACGCAATCATAGGTTTGAACGTCGTTTTCAATTTAGACTTGTTTATATTTTATCGTTTGGGCTTGTATTATATTTTCCTTCGGGTTTATATGATCCGTTCATCCTATTTCGACTCTTTAAAATTCAAGAGTCTATCCGAAATTGAGGTAAATTTTATGGCCTTCCAAATACTGTTTCGATTTATATATACAAGTCTAAATTGAAAACAACGTTCAAACCTATGATTGCGTTGGATAAAAACCGCAATTTTTATACGTGTGCATGCAAAACAAATTTCTTGTTAGAGGGGTCTAAATACAGCACAAACAACATTTTCCAAAAGATCAAAAAAGTGAAAAAGTATATTTTTACAAAACGCATTTGACTAACAGGTCGAACAACAAATGTTCTTAAATCCTGCTGACTGCCATTGGCGATTGCCAAATAAACGGATCACAAGGTGTAATAAATGGATCTTAACTTTAAATTTAATACCAAACAGAAAACAATAAACTTGGGGCGAACATGGTATACCGCAAA